GAACTTATAGGCCCATTGTCTGCCAACCCTATATATGATCTTGGATACACTCTCCATTTAGACATACCTAATTGTTTAGCTTGTTCACCTATCTATCCGTCCCTATACCCATGTTTGCTTTCACTGACAACTCAGTACTGTATATGCAAAGGGGTTCATATTTGTTGTCTGTACTAGGGCCCTAGATTTAAAGGAATGTTCGCTTTGTCTGCTTTAGGGGAAATCCTTGTCTGAGCTTCTCTAGCATTCTTCTCTGCATTCCTTGGAGTTGTTCACGTGGCATCTGTCTTTCTTCCATTTAGCCTTGCTTGCTTCTCTTTGCCTAACTTGCTCTTTTTGTATCTCAAAAGTGAGTTTAAGACACGCTACCCAACCTACTTCCGTAGTGATACTGCCTCTGAAACCCAAGGAGGGGTCGCTATGAGTTGGGGCAGACTTGAGGGCAAATAACAACAACAACAACAACACCCTGATCGTGGCCTTATTAACATAACAAAGAAAAACAAATCCCCAAACAGGATTATATCCATAGGTACAGGGGTTAGGATTCCAACACATCTTTTGGGGAGACACAGTTCGATCCATAACAGTATGGATTTGGTAGTGTCATCAAAACCTGTTGCCACTGACTTGATGCTCACTGACAGCAACCCCACAGGAGCAAGTAGAAGTGCCCCATAGATTTCCAAGACTATAATCTTTACAGAAGCAGATTGTCACATCTTTCTCCAGCGGAGTTGCTGTTGGTGCTGTTGTTATTTGCTGTCAAATCGGACCTGACTCATAGCGACACCTCCTTGGGTTTCCGAGGCAGTATTACTGCGAAAGTAGATTGCCCAACCTTTCTTCCGAGGAGTGGCTGGTGGGTTTGAACCACCAGCCTTCTGGTCAGCAGTCAAGTGCTTTAGGCGCTATGCTACCGTTGCTAGTGGATTCAAACTGCCGACATTTTGATTAGTAGCTGAGTGCTTAACCACTGATCCACCAAGGCTCCCTACCCTGACTGAATGAATAGAATAATAGTGTAATTGAACTATAGTTTACCTTATTGTTCTGTTTTCATATCGTCTCAAAACATCAAAATATTGAGTGGCCTTTTTCTCCTTTCTTGTGTTTTTGCAGCAGGAAGCAATTACACAGGTTTTTGTTAGTTGCCTTCAGATCATTTCCAACTCATGACATATGGCAGAGTAGAACTGTTTCATAGGGTTTTCAAGAGTGTGCCTTTTTGGAAGTAGATAGCCAGGGCAGTCTTCTAAAATGCCTCTGGGTGGATTCAAACCACCCACCTTTCATCTCATCAAAAAACCCAAACCAAACTCACTGCTGTCGAGTCAGATATGATTCATAGCGACCCCTCCTTGGATTTCCGAGGCAGTATCTCTACGGAAGTAGATTGCCCATCCTTCTTTCTGAGGAGTGGCTGGTGGGTTTGAACTGCCAGCCTTCAGTTAGCAATCAAATGCATTAGGCACTATGCCACCAGAGCTCTCTTTCATCTGGTAGTGGAGTGCTTAACCTTTTGTACCGCCCAGGGACCAATCACACAGATACTAAGCTCTAAATAGTCATCTTGAGGGCTACGACTGTGAGGCAGTTAGGTAGTTTTAAGAACAAGATAATGGGATTCTGGGGTGAGGAGGATGATGGCAGTAGCGGTAAATCTGTGTGGAAAGCTATAGAGAGGGTTCCAAAGCAGGAACAACACAGCTCCAGACAGACAGACTGCCATGAAATATGTTTAAGTGAATGGTGCTTGAAGCCCACGCTCAAAGAGAAAAGGACCTTTCCACCTGCTCCAGGAAGTTCAGCCTTGGATTAATGGGAGAAGTAAGGCTCAAAAGAATCTAGACCTGGGAGAGGATTGCTGACTAGAGTATTTGGAAGAAAGCAAATGGGAGGGAATCTTAAAAGTTAATACGAAAAACATGAGAATGTAATTTTTACCTGAAACTTAAGCATGTTTTATATGCCTAGGATTCCCTACCCACTACAGCTGTTCATTTTCATTCTATGTGTAATCTACTTTAGTAAACCATGAGGGAGTGAGAGTGGGGATACTCTGAGTACATCAGTAGAGAAGAGAAAGTGTCTTTAATCCCCTAGGGATGGTCTGTAAAGGAACAATCTGCCCTAGTCATCTAGGTGAAGTTGCAGAATGTTACCCAGAGAGGCAGTGGTATAATCCAACCAGGAAGTCTGCTTTAACTACTCTCCAACTCCCACTCAAATGTACATACTCCCGTGCATTTTCATAGCTAGGGGACAAAAAGCACTAAATACATTACTTTGAGATTCATTATGAAAAAATAAAATATTTCCTGTGTGGAATACAGTTTTCAGTCTCTGTATTCCTGTTTTGATTAATATAAAATTGTTAGGCCTTAGCGTCATCCTTAAGAGTTTCACTTTCTATTTCTTATCCAATATATATAGCTTGAGGTTTGGTACTACTAGTGCTTTTATGTTCTGATGGCTGTCTTTACCACTTTACCATAGTTTTGTTTATAATATGAAAAGAAAATAGCCTTTTCTAGATTCTAAAGCATATAATTTTAAAGAAATATTGAGCAGTTGATTTATTTCAGCCTTAAAATTTAGTACAAACATTCACACAATGGAATACTATGCAACACTAAAGAATAATGTAGAATCTGCAAAACACCGCATAACGTGGATGAACTTGGAGGACATTATGCTGAGCGAAATAAGTCAGTCACAAAAGGACAAATATTGTATTAGTCCGTTATTGTGAAAGTTAAGGAAAGGTTTATATATTGGAGGACATTTTCTTTGTTAGTTACCAGGGGTGGGAGAGAAGGGGAGGGAATGCTGTTAGATAGATAGAGATAAATATTGATTTGGGTGAAGAGAAGGGCAATGTACCAAATGTGAGTGACCAATATGGCAGCATTGAGGATGAGAAAGACAGAGAGAGTTACATGGGCAGTACAAACAACAAATATGAACCCCTTTGCAAATACAATACTGAGTTGTCAATGAAAGCAAACATGGGTATAGGGACGGATAGATGGGTGAACAAGCTAAACAATTATGTATGTCTAAATGAAGAGTGTATCCAAGATCATATACAGGGTTGGCAGACAATGGGCCTCTCAGGGTGCAGAAGAGTATGAAGGGATGGACACTGGGAGGAGGTAACTATGGGGAGGAAGTGGGAGGGGAGCTGCTGCATTGTAAATTTTGGTCAATGACATGAGACAAAGTATATGTGAACTGCTGTATGAAAAGTGAATTTACTCTGTAAATCTTCACCCAAATCCTAATAAAAAAAAAAAAATTTAGTACAAAGCCATACTATAAATTATCTGTACTTAAAAGTAATGCAGGATGTTATGTAAAAAGGATAAATTGCTATAGCCACTTCTAATGGTACCTGTTTTTTTTAAATCTTCTTTACGATGTTATAAATAAATTTAAATGAAACATTTCTTTTTTTTTTTTTTTAGAAAACTGGTGATTTATTTGCTATCAAAGTATTTAATAATATAAGCTTCCTTCGACCAGTGGATGTTCAAATGAGAGAATTTGAAGTGCTAAAAAAACTCAATCACAAAAATATTGTCAAATTATTTGCTATTGAAGAGGAGGTAAGTAGTCAACCTTTATTTTTGTTTTTGATAGTTATTGATTCAGGGGATATAACCTAATATAAAATTGGGTTTTTAAAAAAAGTGGTAAAAATTAGGACTCATACAACCTAGTTTGCATCACCTAAGAATTCTTGACTAGATTGTTGTTTGTTGTTATGTGCCGTCGAGTTGGACCCAACTCATAGCGACCGCTCCTTGGGTTTCCGAGGCAGTATCACTATGGAAGTAGATTACCCAATCATTTTTCCAGGGAGTGGTTAGTAGGTTTGAACCGCCAGCCTTCTGGTTAGCAGTCACGTGCCTTAGGCACTACACTACCAGAGCTCCCCTTGAATATAGAATAAAAATAAAGTACCATAAGAATGGAATAATAAAAAGTAGTGTAAGAAATAAAAGGGTAAAGAATATGGTTACGCTCCTGAGATTATGGCCCCTAGCTGCCCTTCAGGTCTGGAATTGAACCCACTCCTGTGGCTTCCAGCCAAACAAAAGACAGGCATATGAGCTGAAATTTACGTGAAATAGATACAGTCCTTGGAGAAATCAGTCATGGGAGAATAGAAGGGCTGTGTATGCACAGGGAGACAGCTTGGGGGGTAGGGTGCATGGGAAGGAAGGACACAGGAAAAAGATAACTATGGGGAGGAACTTGGAGGAAGCTGTTGCATTGTGGAAAATTGCAGTCAGTATCATGAGACAGTATATGTGAACTGCTGTATGGAAAATGAATTTGCTCTGTAAACTTTCACCCAAATCACAAAAAGAATTTAAAAAAAATAAAGAATATAGTACTCATATTATTACTAGAAAAAAAATAAATTGTCATAAATAAAAGACACAAGGAGAATCTTTTGCAAAAGAATAAAAATTCTAGAAATGCAGAGATTGATACATACTCCACTGTCAAAAAATGTAAGTGATTTTAGGAAGGTATAGCAAAAAATACATACATACATACATACATACATATATATATGAATACATAAATGCATAAATATAAATAAATAAATAATCGCTAACTAACATTATTAGAAAAAATAATGTATAAATATTGGAAATAGAAATCTGTTTCAGTCCCTTTAGACATAGGAGTCCCTGGATGGTACCCCACTACTAGCTTAAAGGTTCAAACCCACCAAGAAATGCCTCGGAAGACGAACCCAGTCTGCTTCTGAAAGGTCACAGCCTTGAAAACCCTATGGACCAATTCCAGCCTACACACATGGGGTTGCCATGAGTCAGAATCGACTTGACAGCAACTAGCAACAGCAAACGTAGGTAATCAGTATAATCACCTGTCTTGAAAAATAATTTGGCAATTTATACCCCTTATCCTAGGGATTTTATTTTAGTGATTAATATCTTAGAAAGTAATCAGAAACACAGATGATAGTTTTATGCAGCTATTCATTGGAGCCAAATATTTGAAAAATAATGGTTAAATACTGCATTGTTGCTTAAGTATCCATGATGAAAAGTGATATTTATCAAAATTTTAATGATCTGGGAATATACTTACGTATAATTTTATGTTTCAACAACATAAATGATGACTATATATGTGGACTTCGCCTGATGGAATACACGGGAATCAGATTGACTACATCTGTGGCAAGAGGTGATGGAGAAGTTCAGTATCTTCAGCCAAAACAAGGCCAGGAGCTGATTGTGAAACAGACCACCACATGCTCATATGCAAGTTCAAGTTGAAGTTGAAGACAATTAAAACAAGTCCACGAGAGCCAAAATATGACCTTGAATATGTCCCTCCTGAATTTAGAAACCATGTAAAGAATAGATTTGATGCATTGAACACCAGTGACTAAAAACCAAAAGAATTGTGGGATGGCATCTAGAACATCATCCATGAAGAAAGCAAGAGGTCCTTAAAAAAATAAGAAAGGAAGAAAAGACCAAAATGGATAACAGAAGAGACTCTGAAACTTGCCCTTGAGCAGAGAGTAGCTAAAACAAGTGGAAGAGATGACAAGATAAAAGAGCTGAACAGAAAATTTCAAAGTGAATCTCGAGAAGACAAAGCCAACTATTGTAATGATATGTGCAAAGACCTGGAGTTAGAAAACCAAAAGGAAAAAACATGCTTGGCATTTCTCTAGCTGAAAGAATTGAAGAAAAAATTTAAGCCTCGAGTTGCAATATTGAAAGATTCTATGGGCAAAATATTGAATGATGCAGGAAACATCAAGAAAAGATGGAGGGAATGCACTCACTGTACCAAAAAGAATTGTGGAAGTTCATCCATTTCAAGAGGTAGCATATGATCAAGAACCAATGATATTGAAGGAAGAAATCGAGGCTGCACTGAAAGAAAAAGCCCCAGGAATTGGCGGAATACCCATTGAGATGTTTCAAAAAATGGATGCCCTGCTGGAGGCACTTACTTGGCTAAGCCAAGAGATTTGGAAGACAGCTACCTGGCCAACTGACTGGAAGAGATCCATATTTCTGCTCATTCCAAAGAAAGGTGATCCCACAGAGTGTGGAAATTATCAAACAATATCATTAATATCACATGCAAGTAAAATCTTGCTGAAGATAATTCAAAAAACAGTTGCAGCAGTATATCAACAGAGAGCTTCCAGAAATGCAAGCTGGATTCAGAAGAAGACGTGGAATGAGGGATATCATTGCTGATGTCAGATGGATCTTAGCTGAAAGCAAAGAATACCAGAAAGATGTTTGCTTATATTTTATTGACTATGCAAAAGCACTCGATTGTGTGGATCATAACAAATTGCAGATAACATTGAGAAGAATGGGAATTCCAGAACACTTGATTGTACTCATGAGGAACCTGTACATAGATCAGGAAGCTGTTGTTCGAACAGAGCAAGGGGCCACTGCATGGTTGAAAATAAGGTAGGGGGTGCATCAGGTTTGTATCTTTTCACCATACTTATTCAATTTGAATGCTGAGCAAATAATCCAAGAATCTGGATTACATGGAGAAGAAGATGGCATCAGAATTGGAGGAAGACTCATTAACGACCTGTGATACACAGGTGACACAAGTTCGCTTGCTGAAAGTGAGGATGACTTGAGGCACCTACTGATGAAGGTTAAAGACTACAGTCTGCAGTATGGATTACACCTCAGTATAAAGAAAACAAAAATCCTCACAACCAGTCCAATAAACAGCTTTACGATGGATGGAGAAAAGATTGAAGTTGTGAAGGACTTCATGTTACTTGATTCTACAGTCAACACCAGTGGAAGCAGCAGTCAAGGCATCAAATGACGTATTGCATTCGGCAAATCTGTTGCAGAGGATCTCTTTCAAGTGCTGAAGAGCAACTATGTCTCCTTGAAGACTAAGGTTTGTCTAACCTAAGCCATTGTATTTTCAGTGACCTCTTATGCATGTGAGAGCTGGACAGTGAATAAGGAAGACTGAAGAAGAGTTGATGCTTTTGAGTTGTGGTGTTGGAGAAGAATGCTAAGAGTACCATGGACTGCTAAAAGGACTAACGAATCTGTCCTGGAGGAAGTGCAGTTGGAATGCTCCTTAGAAGCAAGAATGGCCAGACTTTGTCTCACCTACTTTGGTCATGTTGTCGGGAGGAACCATCCCCTGGAGAAGGATATCATGCTTGGTAAAGTGGAGGGTCAACGAAGAAGGGAAGGCCCTCAATGAGATGGATTGACACTGTGGCTGCAATGATGGGCTCAGGTATAGCAAGGCTGGTACAGGACTGGGCAGTGTTTTGTTCTGTTGTGCATAGGGTCGCTATGAGTCAGAGATGACAACGGCACCTAACGACAACATAGTTTTACATGGGAAAGTCAGGATGAAAAATACACATGCAGTGTGACCTCAGTGAACACAGTATAATATATAAGCAATGTTATGATTAGTATGATTTGATACATAGTATCAAATGTATGATGTATATGATTTGATTAGTATGATTTGATACATAGGGGAATAAAAAGACTGAAAGATACCCAAGTATTAACATAATTATTACTCCAAAAACCAAACCAGACTCAGTGCCATCAAGTCGATTTTGACTCATTAGCCACCCCCTTTGGGTTTCCGAGGTTGTAAATCTTTACTGAAGTAGAACTGCCCCATCTTCCTTCCATGGAGCAGCTAGTAGGTTTGAATCACTGAACTGGTTAATAGTCAAATGCCTTATCCACTATGCTAAAGTAGGTGATAGAATTATTGATATTTTCCAGATTTTCAACTACCAACATATTATTTCATAATTTAAGAATGTAGTGTTTTTTTTTTTTAATTTAAAGCTACTGAATAGTCGAGAAATTGAAAATATTTTATAAAAGCGATTTAGTGATAAAGCGAAAAATGGAGGAAAAGGATGAGTACCGTATTATATGACTCATATTTACATTTTCAGATTTCTAAAATTAACATGTATCTTGTAATGTTTATATTTAATTTGATAGTTTTTCCTGTTCCCTGTAAAGCTATTATTAAATTTAAGATGCATCTTATCATCAGTGGTACATTAAAATCAAGTTGTAAAACAAATCAGCAGCTCAGATCCTAATGAACAGACTGGAATTTGGTCCAAGAAAGGTCACTCAGCTATTCTTTTGCCCATTTGTTTTTAAGGATAGGAATCTATTCTGAAGTAGAAATACTTGTCATGAGAAAAATTCCAAGTATTTAAGATATTTATTAGAAGAACTGACATCCTAAATATATTGTTACGTATAAGAAAGATAATTTTGACAACCTTTGTAACATTATAAACTGATTTTCTAATTTAGATTTAGCCAGTTTTCACTGTTTGTCTTCAAACACAAATCTAATTTTCTTACTTAATAGGACTTGCAATGTTAATTCTTACATGTGTACAGTCAACAAATATTTAATGAATCCAAGGTGAACAATTAAAAATGCCTTTATCATTGTTGTAAATTCTGCATTTAAATGCTATCAAATAAGTACTAACATATGGTTAAATTTTTAATTTATGTTTTTCAGACAACCACAAGACATAAAGTACTTATTATGGAATTTTGTCCATGTGGGAGTTTATACACTGTTTTAGAAGAGCCGTCTAATGCCTATGGGCTACCAGAGTCTGAATTTTTAATTGTTTTGCGAGATGTGGGTATGTTAGTTTATTTATATTCATAAAATTTTAATGATGTTAAAAAAATTCTTAGATTCGTACAATACCAAACATCTTTAGACAGTACTTTTTTAGATGTGACATTAAAACTAAAAATGTCAAAAAAAAAAAAATTCGGTAAATTGAACTCCATCAACACTAAAAACTTTTGTGCTTCAAAAGAGACCATCAAGGAAATAAAACTCAACCCATAAAATGGTAGAAAATATCTGTAAATCATACATTTGATAACCTGCATCCAGAATATATGAAGTACTCTTATAACTCAACAATAAATAACAACTCAGTTTTAAAAATGGGCAGTGGATTTGAATAGTGCTAATAGACAAGGGGCTGGCGGTTCAAACCCACCAGCCAATCCTCAGAAGGAAGGTTGGGCAATCTACTTCCGTAGTGATACTACCTCGGAAACCCAAGGAAGGGTCGCTATGAGTTGGATCCGACTCGACGGCAATCAGTTTGTTTTTTTTGGTTTAATAGACATGGGCTTCTTTTTGTAAAAATGTTCTGAAGTTATATAATTGTGATGGTTGCACAACTCTGAATGTACTGTCTCTGAATGGTTTACTTTAAAAGGGAAGATTTTTT